ATTCCCAGGCCCGAGGGCTGTACAACAGGTTATCGAAAGTAAACTGCTGAGTTTCCCACTGACTGTATCTCACTTGGGCTCGGGTCATAAAGGTGGTGTTTGGCAGGGAGCAGCGGGCTCGGAAAGGATGCGAGTGCAGACAGGGCTGGCAAGAAACCTTGCAGCAACCCAGGGAGCTGCCCAAGGGGCTGCACTGGCAACTGGCCGCGCAGGCTCGTCCCACGGTGCCTGCAGGAGCCCCGCCGCATGCGGGGTTGGCCCAGGACAGCAAAGTGCAGGTCCTAACCGATACGTGACTACAGCAGAGTTATTTCTTTTCGCTTTTCTTTCTTTTTTCACCGCTCCAGAGTGTCAAAAGGCAGCTATTCGGATTACAAAGGCAACCAACCGACTCTCCAGAAATTTCAGGGTTGCACTCGCTCTCGCTACTGTAATTCTGTCCCCAGTTTGCCCTTTCCCCCCAGTAGATGATGCTGGGAACCCGTGGAAAATAATCATGCGTAACTATAATTAAAAACAGCATTCCAGTGCATGCATAAACAGGTCCCACAGGTAACCAGAAATTTGACATTTTTGCACCAAGGATGTGCTTTGCTGGCTTTGCCCAGCCAGGCGCGGGCCCGGCTGCCTGGGGCTCCTGGTGAGCTGCGATTCGAGCAGGCTGCAGATCCTCCTGCAGAGCTGCAGGGAGACGAACGGGGGTTTGGGATAGTTTGTGCAAACCCAATTTGTGGCTATATTTTTGTGGCAGCCCGAGGGCCGTGGCAGTCCCGCACTCTTCAAAGCGCCACCGCACTCAGTGGAAAGGTTAGAGCTTCTAAAACGAAGTCACACAGGTCTTTCACCGTGAAAAGTGCTAGAAAGATGTAGACGGGGGGGGTTGCTGCCGACCTCTCCGATCAGACTATCCTACCCACCAGGAAGCCAACGTTTGCTAACAACAGCTGCTTCTCAGGATGTCCAGAACGGTGCTTGTGCCCTGCAAAAACAGACACTGGACTCACAGCAGTGCCACCACCTCACCCTGCCCTGGCAGACCCGCAGGCGGCGGGACGGGGGAGAGCGGCTCAGGGACTGCAGCCCCCACGAAACACGTCACAGCGAAACAGGTTGATTTCTTGGCACGACCAGCGCAGCAACTTCCTTCGGCCGGAGCGGGACATGGGAGAAGGAGAAGTTTCAGGGCTTCAGGCGGTGGTGGTGGGTGGGGGCAGCGACGTTCCCTGGCTGCACCAGCCCCTCGGGGCCGCGGGGCCCCTGCGGGGACAGCGCCGCGC